TGATCTATAAACATGGAAGTACCCACTTGTTCGAAATAATCAAAATCAGTCCAATGACATGATTAAAAAGCCAAATGAGATCACCACCGATATGGAAGGGCATACCAAAAACCGAGAGAAACGTTATTGTATTTCTCGGCTTACAAAGCCAATAGAAGATAATCTCAAACTAGTAAAATTGGTCCTGACTAAATGATGTGTGTCTCATATCCACTACACCGTCCCAAGGCAATGCATTAACTATGTGAATCATAAAAGAAGAAGAAAGGTAAAAGTTCAGTTAACTCTTGACGCCATAGTGCCAAAGGTTGACACTACAACTACAAAAGAGGAACACGATGTTGTATTCTATCCAACAAGAAATATGACATTGCACCTCAAAGTAGAGTCCAAGCACATACTTGGTTTTATTCATTCTCATGAGGGATTATTCATACCTTTGATGAGCTTGTTAAATTATTTGTGGAGTAATTCATTATAAATGAGAAGATTATCAAAGACCCCTCTCACCTTTTCAAGATTCACCAAAGTGAGGGAGAGCCGGTAAAAAGATTGTTTCTATAAATTCTCAATTAAAGTTTGTCAAATCTCAGGAGTACATCTACAATTACTAAAAGGCGACTTCTTGGGAGGATTACATCATGGTCCTTTCTACTCAACTTTAATATTAGAAATAGTTCATTCACATGATGACTTCATCCATCGCGTTGAAGCCCAAAATGCAACTGATGAAGTCATTAATACACATAAAAAGCATTTTGAATCATTCATAGAAAAGCACAAGAACAATCCTAGAGATGCAACTCAATCAACTTGGTGAAATAAGTACGAGGTTCAAGGAAACCAAAATCTACCCCCTCAACCTCAAAAGCATGAATCCTGACTAGACCAAGAACTCACACTGCTTAAAACATCATGTGATAATATTCTGATGGAAATTCAAGATAAGAAGAAAACTCTTAAATGACCACCTCTATTAAAGTTAAATTTGGGGAATTGGGAACAATATTATCACATTCTTTGAAGTTATTGTCATAACACTGAAGCATGTTATCAACTTAAAGAAGAAATCAAAAGGTAATTCAGTAATGGTATTTAGGCCAATTCATACAAAGTAAGATTCCCCACATGAACAACACTTCTATTAGGGGCGAGAAAACTCAAAGGCAACAATGAGAAAATCATCAGACTATGGAAAAAATAGAACGATCATGGGAGTATCTTTAATGTTCAAGCAAGTTCTTATCATTGCATATGAAGAAACTTTGCCAAAGAAATCTCGTGTTAGACACTCCATCACCTTTGATGAATTTAATCTTAGAAGGGTACATATCCCTCACCAAGATCTTCTAGTTATAAGCATTAGAATTAATGAGCTTATTATAATGTAAAAAGAATCATGATTGAGGGGGGAAGTTTAGATGTTGTTTTATTTTATTCAACATTCCTTGGTTTAGGATTGACGAAGGAGAAACTGTAACCTGCTTATAGACCTTTTTACTGCTTTGATAACTAGGTTGTGGGTGTCAAGAAAATAATCACTCTACCTGTCACTTTGGGTGTGTTCCCCTGGCTTATGAATCACCTGAATCAATTTATAGTTATCAAAGTAAAATCAACATATATTGTTATATTTGGAAGACCTCTTTAGTCAATTTTGGTGTTGTGATTTCTATACCACATATTCAAATAAATTTACCAACACCATAAAGAGTGGCAGTGTACTTGAGGATCATAATATAACACAACTGTGCCATCTCATTAAAGTTGAACTTTGCCCATCAGTGACTCAATATTGAAAGTTTTGACCTCCAAAATGAACATATATCACAGGGGGCATGATTAGTATAGTAGAATACTTGATATGCATTTTTGTTATCAAATGAACATTCTTCATAAATAATGATGCTTGGACCCTTACTTTGTGATGAGCAGAAGATGGAATGTTTGCCTGAATTCCTATTGATATGCCCAGAGTTGTCCTTGAAGTAATTATGCACTCATTAAAAATAG